CGGCCGGGGGGGGGGGGGGGAGACCATCCGCTAGGGGGCGTGGCGTTGCCACGGCAACTCTCCAGGGCGACGGGGAGGGGGCAAGACTGACGTCACTGCCCCGGCCTTACCTCGGCAGCGCGGGGTCACCATGGAAACCCCACCTTGGCGGCCATGTTGGCCCACGCCCGGCAGCCCCTTTGGGGCGCGTCGGGGTCTTTCTTTTCTCCTGAGAGCACAAAATCCTGCGAGGAAGATCCAGCTGGTGGCTGGCACTGAACCAGGCTGCTCTCCACGGCCCTTGCTTCCCCAGCTTCAATTCATCTCAATGAAATACAACATTTTATTCCCACAAAAGCAGTGTTACTTCCCTATTTTGCCCCCCAAGTCTCCGCTCCACGTCCGGAAAGCGAGAGCGATTTTCAAGGAGAATCTGCTTAGAGAAAGGAAAGAAAAAAAATCCTGATTTCTGCTCGCAGAGCTGACTGCTAAAATGTATTTGTTCAGGTGTCTTTATGAAAGGAAAAACTGCAAAACTCAGAGACCGGTGTCAGCAAATCAATTTATATAGGAACCAGCGTCATCTAAATTCTCCTCTGTTTCCTCCCAAGCCGCCACGTCAGTCAGGAGACCTGGATGGGACTGGGGCTCCTCCTTTCCCACTGGCTTTATGAAGAAGTTTTGCACCCACCACTGCTCAGGGCAGGGAAGATAACCTTTTTTTGGGGACCTAGTGTCGCGGGTGGTGTGCTGGCAGCACGCGCCCGAGAGCCGCTGGTCTCCTCCCGGAAGGAGAAGGAGAACTGGTGTTAATCTAACCTGCTCCAGTGTTCACCGGGCGTTAGGCTGTCACCATCTTTCTTCTTTGCCCATAGCTGCAATGGGTTTAAGGAGGTTCTTCATCGGTTTGAAGTTGATTTTCTTTTAATTAAATGGCTGAGATAAGTAGAAAGAATTCCAGGCTGGGGGGGGAAGCAACGGCTGCAATGGTTAAGGACGGCCGTTGCAGAAATATTACCTGAAGCCCCACTTAAAGTGCTTTTTGTTTGTGCTTTGATTGCTTTCTTACTACAGTATTTGAAATTGTAAATGGAAAATTACCCCATGTTCTATTACATAAGGTTTACACAGCCTGAAATAGGAGATTTTATTCATTATTATGTTTTCGGGGCTATGAACAATAGATGTTTTTAGTAGATGGTAAATAGCACTTTTCCACTTGACTTAATTATAACACTTAACAGTAAAAGGGAGACAGTCCTCTTTCATAAATACAGGCAACAAACTGTCTGCCAGATCTCAGAGGAGGAAGCAGCAGGAAAGCAGCTTTGGTTTGTCTGAACAGATTTAACTGAAGTATCAAAACAACCGATTTCAGCAAACTGCCTGAGTTATGTTTCTTAGCTTCTGGTGCAAGGGTGGGCTTGCTGACTCCCTGGGTGCTGAAGGAAAGACTGAAAACAAAAGATATGCAGGGATCCCAGGGTGGAATTATTCCCAAACAGGCCGACTCAGCCCTACGCAAGGACTATATCAGCTTGCTGTATTTTATTGCATCCAAATGTCTTGATTACCTACTAATTAACTCAGCATCTTTCATTGGAGTCTTAAGTTTTGTGGTTACCCAAATTCAGTAGCAGGTATTTGGTTATGTTTACTTAATGTTTTCGTTGCAAGTATCAGTTGTATCTCCTAGAGTTTCCTGTAAAGGTACAGCTTGTCTGAAGATCTAATACATGTTCTTTAGCAGGTCAGTATGTATTTTTCCCAAGGTGATCAAATGAAATCGCCATTAGATAATCAGTGTTAAGAAAAATCTCATTTGCAGATTAAGCCAACTAGTTCCAAAAGAATTCAAGGGAAAGGGTGCCACAAAGAACAGTGCCACTAACAAAGAAATGCTTTTCACCTACTTTCTTTCAAAGAAGTGAGAGACTCACTGCACAACGAAAATCTGAAATTGCTGTTTCAATAAAGAGCTGCCCACTGTACATGAGAGATCAGATACTTTGTAAAGCATCCAGTGTTTTACAGTATGAGGAGCCTGGAGTGTGAAGCCCTTTCCAAAAATCAGAAGGCTCAAATCTGTGACTCGCCAAACTAGGAAAAATCTTGGGCCTTCCCCTTTCAATTTACACAGCTTGATAAATATATTAAAAGCTCTAATGCTTGAATCAGAGCTATTAGTTATTAATTACTAAAGTAATATTCCAAATTTGTTTGCTCTTTTACAATGGTGTCAGATCACACTGAAAACTTATATCAGTATATCGTTATTTGTCAATTGTACAAATGAACCTTCAGAAGGGTTTTAAAACCACTTAACACTACTTTTTAAAGTGCCAAATTGAAGTACTACATCAGACCGGAAACCAGAGCCCCTTTCCCTTGCTGTGAGCAGGGTAGAGTCTCGGACTTTCATTATTTTCTCTCTCTCACCATGCTTCATCTTTAAGAGCCTACAGAAGCAAATTATCAAGTAATTAATTTGAAAATAATTTATCAACAAGCTGCGCAAGGCTTTGACTGAGTAAAATTCTAAGGGATTTTGCAGCTTGCCTTGTGATAGCTGTAAGAAATGAATCAGTTGAACAAGACCAAGCACATTCAAACATTGGAATTTGTGCCCTTGAGACTGCTGTTCCCAGGTAAGGTGCAGAACACACCTCAGAGAAACATCCCTCCGGGATCACTCATTCAGCCTCACCCTTGCTCCGCGAGCACACAGCCAGCTCTTACATAAGGTGTCTTGCTACATCACCGCCAAAGGCTGTTGTAAACCATTTTTCTCCCTTTTAGTTCAGGTTCCTAGACAAGCAAAAATGCAGAGTATTGCCAGAAAAATATGCAGAATGGGGATTTCTCCTATGGATGATTAATGAAATATTATTGTTTTGCACTTAGAGGGAAATCAAAGTTTCATGCAAGTAAGGTCAGGGCCTTAATATGCTATGTGCTCTGCAAAGTTGTACAGAATGATGGTTCATTTTCTGTTATGATTAGCCAAAGCCTCATCAGGATAAAGGGGTACACAGTAAAAATAGTAACATTGTGCTGAAAGTCAAAGCCATCTTTTTTTATTACATTGCTAGCTGCAGTTCTGGTATAACTAAATCCACTTCTCTATCTGCATCATCAAGGCAGGGGGCTCAAAAGTAAGCTACTGGGACTCTGGCACCTACCAACAAAGCTCTGTCCATAATATGCCCTGAATTGCTCTTGGATCAGTATCATTTCTGCCATACTATGTTGAGGTGGACTGAAACTAGAGACCGAGAAGAGAAAGATCTTTAGAGGTATGTCAAGGCTTCTGATCTGTTCAGTCCTATGTTGAAAATAAAGTCTTCATAAGCTGACTTCCTCAATCCTAACTTCTCAAGTCAAGCTGCCTTAGCATGTTGACGTAAGTGTAGGGTCTGAAAACCCATGCTTCTGGCAGTAGTCACAGTGGACTTTACTACAAATATTTTTATAGATATGCATATTATAAGAAACATCGCCAGCACCGAATCCCAGGATTTCCTGTGGATCTTGTCACTAAGGATTTCCTGTGGATTTGGTCACTAAGTGAGACCCATGAAGGAATGACATCTCTCCAGTCCCAGAACAGCATTTTTAAAAGCAACAAAGTTCCTGAGGACAGTTTGCTGCTAAAAGGGGTAATGTGTAATATGAGTGGGAAACACTGTCACTTCAGATGCAATGCAGTAATCCCATGCAGAAATTTTGTTTGTTTTCTTCTTCCACGGACCAGACCCATCACATACTGTTCACCATAATACCTCACCTCAGAACATGGAAAAACCAGGAGTTTTTCTTTGAAAATTTGCGGTAAAATGATGATTTTGAAAAGTATTTCAAAAAAAGTCTTCCTTCCCACAGCAACTGTGAAACACAGACTGATTTGACAGATAATGAATAAGAAACCTAGTACAAGTTATTTGTATCAAAATTAGCATGGCAAACACTTAAGATATTGATCACTATCCTATGGTGATCCTATAGAAATACTTGAGTTGCAGGATTGGGGAAGAAGTAGGTGAGATCCCACACAACACCGTGATAATTATGACAAATGTAGAGAGGTCAAAGTTTGAGAGCTATTGATTTCTTTTGGTACTAGCATTTGTCAAGGTGAGGAAAATCCATTGGCAAAGAACAACCTGATTTTTAACACATCTGAGTCTTTTTAACATGTTAATGTTTAATAGGGTGTTCTCATACTTTATATATCCCTGATAACAATGTACAGGCTGATAGGCATCCCCTGAGGTTGTAATTCAGCTGCCGAGCCTTGCAAGGCATACAAGCGCTTGGTGTTCACGCTCATGGTTTATTATGTTATCAGAACTCATTGACTGAATTATGGCCTTATAATAGCTCTCTCTGTCTGCATTATCCCACTGTTACTGTAGCACTATTAACCTATCTCCCATTAGAAGATTATATGTCCTTCTCCAGATGAGCACACAGAAGGTAAATAACTCTGTGCCTTTTTAATGTACAGGCTCATTTTCTAGAAGAAACTGATTATTTCCCTGAGGATGATATCCGTTCTGGCTTGTGATAGTAGAAAGACAAAGACACGTGAGCAGGGAGCAAAGTTCACTGCCCAGTCCTGTGTGGGATGCCTCACCTAGGAGCCAACAGCTCAGATGTGCAACACCACAAATTCTGTGTTCAGGATTGCTTCCTGGAAGCCAAGGCTTGCAAGGAAGAAATTGAGGTGAGGAAACAGCATTTGTATTTTAAAGCTGCAGTCATTCCCCACTGGAGCACTCACCCATCCTTTCCCACAATGCATTCATCAGTCAAGCGGGCCAGTATGTCCATGGGCTCATTGCCTGAGAAAGGTTTTCACCAGGTAAAACTTGACCTTTAAATAGGCTGAAAGTCCTCAAGACGGCTCTCTTGCTTTCTGTGGCAGGAGACAGCTCTACTCCAGCAGTGCAGGGGTGGCTGTATGCAGCTGGTAAACTTCCTCCCTTGGTAGCCACTGTGCTCACATAGGGTTTTTTTTCCTTCCTGCTGCTTATAAACTTTCAAGAGTCACAATGCTCACACCTTTAGCTCTGTGAGGAGTCTGGCAGAACAGGGTATTATTGGAAATATCTAGGAGAAGAGGACTCAAACCAAGACCTGCACAGTTGTGCAGCAAATCTTGAGGAGAAGATGCCCATCCATAGACCTCCTTTCCTTGCCCGCTCTGCCTAGTCCTCTTCTGCACAGGCTAATTCCTCCTTGTGATTCCTCCCTTCTACCCCTGATAACAAACCTTGGAGAACAGGTGGACGTGCAGACACCTTTTGTCATGGTAATCTTCTCAGACTCAGAGTTTATTGATTCTGCTTGCCTTCAGCTAATGTACTTTTATTATTAATAATAAATAAGCATCATTTTTCCATCAGTGGAGCTCACACCCAGGAGAAGATTTTATTGGGGTGGCAGGAAAGCAGAGATAAGGAGAGCTTCCGCCTGTAAATGGACAAACTCCCCTCTGCAAGCCTGAATTAGCATATCTTTGTGCCAGCCCTGCTCCAGCTCCTCCCTGGTCAGCCTTGTCTGCTCTGGGGCCAAGATGCCGGCCAGGCCAAGCAATACTGAGGGCTTTCCCTCCTGCTTCCTAGTTCTTCTATCGCATTGCCAGTGTCCAGCTGAGTCCTGTGGCCTCGTATCACGGGCAGCCATGGGGAGAAATCCAGCACAGGATCTGTCCCTTAATTCTGCCCCTGAAATTGCTGAGACCATATGTCCACAACACAGGTTTTCACTGGAAAACAAACACCTTGCCCCAGTGTTGTGGATGAAATAGGAGCTCCAGATTAAGATAATCCATGTTTCTGAATGCTTTTCTAGCAGAAGAAAAAATCTGATCTAAATGTAAGTAAACAAGGCCTAGGAGCTCTTTTCTCCGTGTAAAGCCGCTTCCCCAAAAGGTGGGTTCAAGCAATGAAAGAAGGGCTATAAAAGAAGCTCCAAGATGCTCCTACCTACATTTTGATCTAGGCATGGCTGTAAAGAGTCTGCTGCAATATGTGGGCTCTAGCTCACTTGTGGGCTCCAGCTCACTACTCTATTTAGCAGCAGGGCTGGTAGCTCTCGTTTACTTTCTTACCACCTTGAAGAAGTCAGTTTGCCGTCTGCCTCCTGGGCCACGACCTCTTCCTCTAATTGGAAACTTGAACGTGGTGGACCTGAAAAAGCCGTTCCAGTCGCTGACAGAGGTAGGGTTTTGAGTGAGCAGTCAGGAAGAAAATTGGCTGTGCGCAATGCTGATGTGAGAAATGCAACTAGGGTGATGGGGATGCGATTGTATTTGCATTGCGTGGAAGGCAGAAATGAGCTATTTAGAGTACAAACAAGCTGGCAGGTCGACATATACCCTACCTACATATATATGTGTATAAGTACCCCTTCCTTTGTACACATGCAAGCATAGGCCTCCACCCCTTGCGGCCAGGTCTACATTGTTGGTACTTTGAGCCCCAGTTATGGCCCTCAGATTTTGCAAGCAGAAGGCACGAGCCAGGCCAGTCTGCTGATAGATGGGGGCCCTTTGCCATCAACAGCTCTGTCTGTCTATAGACAGACATCTCCCAAGGGAAGAGGGAAAGAAGTAAGGAAGGAAAAAAAGATATCATCCCCACAGCAGAGGAAACTGGGACATATGTACGCTTGTTTCCAAAGCCAGGTACGTCCTTGCGATGCAAAGCTCAACTCTGCCTCCCCTCTCTCCTCTTGCACACACGCTGGCCAGGGTTATTTAAGACTTGGTGCATGGCTTTTGTACCTTTACATAAACAAATTGCTTTTTCTTATGCGGCTCCATGGATACTTTTATTTCTAAAGGGGAAAAACAAGATTCAAATATTTTAAAGCCAGTGCGATGTTTGTTTCAGAAAGTGGCTGCTATGTTCCTATAGGGAGGTGAGGACAATTTGGTGTGAATCCAGATTTCTTCAGGTTGCTGTAGAGATGTTTGAGGGGCCGTGGCTAGTCTGCCCCATACTCCGAGTGTGTGCTTGCCAGCGCTACAACAGAGGAAATCCAGTCCCCAGTGAACTCCCTCAGCTCACCTCAACACCCACAGCAAGAGAGCAGTGCAGACACTGAAATTCTCTCTCATTCGCACCCTCGGCTGCGAATGTTCAGATTTCCTACAGCAGTCACGCAATGTCCATCTGTTTTAACATACAGGGCCACCAGACTTGTGCAGAGCACAGTTTTGATGGGCTTCCAGTCCTGAACTCCCTTCTGACCATAGGTGTGTTTGTGGAGGGGTCGAAGGAAGGGCAACTATTTTTGGCTGTAGTGGGGGATTTTCGATAAAAATGTCATTTGAAGGCACCAGATTCATTTCCTGTAAGCTGCCAAGCAGCTTTCTTGAGGCTCTCAGGCCTGCCACATCCAATATTCATGCTGCTGAGAAAAGCCAGGGCTGATGGCAGGATGTACTAATGCAAAGAAATGACCAAAGTAAGGCTGGGAAATGGCTGTGTTTAACTACCCCTGGATCTGCCTCACGCCGTGTGATCTGCCAGAGAGGAAGGAACCCGTGTTAATGTTATCTCCCAAGCTGTCAAACCACCATTTGATGAAAACAAATTCAATTTGTCTGGTGTAATAACAGGAGCTGCTTCTAATCTGAAATTCAATTTTCTGTATGTATCTAATGCATAGCAAATGGTAACCCAGGCACATCGGAAACAAGCCATTTGGAGCGGATGGCTTACAGTATGTTTAAATGAAGTCTAAAATACTGAGTGAATGATTAGATTGTCAAAACCACCCTTCTCTGTAACAGATGATTCATACTTAATTTGCTGTAAAAGCCTAGAGCTCCTGTGACATTATCCACAAGAATATGCTTCCTGATTGGATTCAAATTTCTAGTGGCCAGTAAATAACTTTGCTATGACTACAACACTACCCACCTTGCAATAATTCGAGACAAGTGCTGTCCTGAAAGAAAGAGTTATTGTCTCGCTTTGTTCTTGTAGTGTTTGTGGCTTCAGCCCCAAAGATGTGGGCACAGCCCCTTGCCTCAGGTCAATGGTACTAAAATAAACAGGCCCTCACACTGGGCCTGCCTGCTACAGCATTTTTCTAATGAGCCTCCAAATGGTAGTTTCACTGCTTTGGCCTGTTACTGCAAAATACCATAGGAATGCAACGACATTTTATCAACTGCTCATCTCACAGGAGCAATGATAGCAGACACCTTGTTGTGCAAACAGGGAGCAAGCAGAGATGCTGGCTAGTGATAACTGAGGTTTATTATTTGCACTGCAGCAGCACCTGGAGATTTCAGGCAGGGCTGGGAGGGTCCTTTCATGCTAGAAACTAACTAGGGTAGCTAATGCAACCTTTTGGGTCCAGATCTGAATGAACGTATTTGTTTACCTTTGAAGCTCTCCAAGATATATGGCAACATCTTCACTGTGCATTTTGGACCCCGGAAAGCTGTGGTACTGGCTGGATACGAAACCATCAAGGACGCCCTTTTAAATCATTCTGAAGAATTTGGAGAGAGAGCAGAGATACCCATATTTAGGAAAATAACACAAGGAAAAGGTGAGCTTTCGGTTGGTTACTTTCTTTTTTTGCAATTTGTCTATATTGATTTTATTCCTATGGCAGAGAATATCATCCTCTTATAGTTTGCTTTTGTCCGTGTAACAGTGCATTGAGAAGCTTTTGTACCAGTGTGTAAGCAGGCCTTACAAAAATGTATTGATTATAAGTAACATTAGGATCTTACACCTTGATTTTAGGCATAGGATTCAGCCACGGAGAGCTATGGAAAACTATGAGAAGATTCACCTTGTCCACCCTGCGAGATTTTGGAGTGGGAAAGAGAACAATTGAGATCCGAATTCTTGAGGAATTAACTTCCCTCATTAAATATTTTGCATCTTATCAGGGTGAGTGTCAAGAATTTCATCCAGAGACAGATCACATATCTAGCTGATGACAACAAAGATGAATGAAAGTGTAACTTTGAGTAAATGGTATCTCATGCTTAAAGTTCAGCGTATGCTTAAGTAGGTCATTAAACTGAGGCCTTAACACATTGAAACTGAGTTCCCTGCTGTGCATTCTGCATGGTGAATGAGGGTTGTTTTTTTTTTTGGAAGCTAAAGACTACACTTCCAAAGGAAACTTAATGGAGCCTATGCATCTTTATTTATTGAATGTGGTATTTTGCACAGCATTACCCCACCATGTCCAAAGACAGTCAGCGACCCCAGAGGTAACCAAATGTAACTGTACTTACCCCAGCAGGGCAATTCCATGCTGCAGGGCGAAATGGGCATTATCACATTGCCGTTTGTTTTCTTTGCTTGAAATACAGGGAAACCTTTTGATACGAAGATGATACTCAACAGTGCTGTATCCAATGTCATCTGCTCTATATTGTTTGGAGAGAGGTTTGAATATGATGATCCTGCATTTCTAGCTTTGCTGAAGCTGTTAAGTGAAAATACCAAGCTGTTGGGCTCCCCTATGGTGCTGGTAAGGTGTTGGTTTTAGGTTTTAGCTTTTAGCTTTTTCTGGGATATCTGGTCGCCAGTGTTTGTTTTCCTGGCCTCCTGTATTTGCTTCTCAGGATGAGGTTGAGGAGAACATTAACAGACAGCTGGTCTGTACTGAATATTTCTGGGGTTCTGTATCTGCAGGACACAGATTCCCAGGGCCCTGGGCTTAGTCTGTGAAGCTTTTTAGCAAAAGAAAGCAAAACAGTCTTTACAAAAGGAAGTGTTTTACTTTCTTTGAAGAGCAGAAGGACAATATGTCCCTCCTATCAGAGATCAGCCCTGAAATGCACTCTTAAATCTGCCTTCTTATATTACAACTCAGTAATTGTCTTAGTTCTTCCTCTCCTAGAAGCAGTTTTGACAGACCTCTTTTTCTGGCCACTGAAACTCAATCTTAGCAAACTAATGGCTGATATAAGCCCATTCCTTCCCAACACAAAGCTGCTGCTTTGAATGCCAGTGGATTCATCTTTAGTGCCACACTGAAGTCTGAGGCTCCAGAATTCAGTCTATTCCAGAATAGCTCAGTGTATAAAGCACCATCTGAGCACAGGTCAGAATTACACACTGTGCTTCAGCAGGGGAACTCCCAGAACGAGGCACCAGCTGACAGCAAACTGCAGGGGCTTCTTTAATGGGCTCGCAGGGCAACTAGTGGTCTCCGAGAGGTTGTGCTCTCCTACGGGGGTTGGAGACAACAGCAAGTACATCCATATGACACATTGCAATGCTGTGCTTAGTCCAGCTGCTAACAACAGCGTAGCTTGGTGCTGTAGTAATTGGCTTGGAAAGCTAATTGGCTTGGAAAGCACTGCACTGGCACAGAAAAATTGTGTTTGTCTGTGGAGGTGGCCGACTCAAGTCCCTTGTTCTGTCCTAGAGTGTGACACACCTGAAGGCTTTCCCTGAGATAGGTACAATGCTCACATTCCCATCCTTCACATTTGAGACTGTCAGTCCCACTATCTACACAGCTGGAAGTCCTGAAGGAAGATTAAGTTGATGAGTCTCCCAAAAGTCATAGTGAGGACTCATGCACAGGTAGAACAGAGAGAACATGATATTTCTGCACAATGTATTGCTGCTTGGACTGCGCAAGCTAATGGGGGGGAATTGTGACCTGAAATGTCAGGGCTTGGGATGTCTTCCTATGAGTCTCAGCAAGGAATATCTTCAGCATCTCAGAAATATTTCACCAGTTAGCTGAGCAGTCCTCCCTGGAAATGTTTCCTGTCCTCTCTGAGCCTCCAGCTGAAGGCCTTGATCGACTCTGCTAGACAAGGGGCCAGCAGTATGGTTTGAGATACCGATATATATTCAAACTGCCAATTAACAGTAAGACTTTCATTGCTCCACAGTTATATAATTTCTACCCATCTCTTGGATTTCTCTTTGGCGCTCCCAAGACTGTGCAACAAAATGTTGATGAGCTGACTGCTTTTCTCCAAAAGCTCTTTCAGGAGCACAAAGAAGAGTTTGATGAAAATAACTTAACAGGCTTTGTTGATGCCTTTCTTATGAAGCAAAACCAGGTACTTTAAAGCTAAGTCTCAGAGTCATTCTGTTCTCTTAGCTCTAACTTACTATGAAGACTGATTATCTGTTAGGGACTGGAAGTGAATGAAAACACAAGAACTGCAATTTTTAGAATACATCAAAGTTCATACTCACAGTGAGCAGTGTTGCACTCGCTCCATAGTTCCACTGAAACTGCTGATTAAAGGGATCTAGTTGTCAAGATGTCCCATGTGGGTGAAATCTGCTTAGCACGCCTAAGGGGGATATCATTCCAAACCTTCCTGCAAGAATGCTAGAGTGATAAACTTCATTGCAATAACTGAATTCCTACTAACGTAATATCTAGTTTGGGGGACCGTATACACATTCAGGTTTGGACAAACTCCATACATTCCATGCACTATAGGCCCTAATGCTAAAATACTGAATGTTTAGGTCCCTGTAGCATATAAAGACACAAAAAGCTAACATCTAGATAAAAATGATGGCAATGCATTAATTTATTTGTATCATTTGCTATAGAACTAACGGTCATTACCTGTATGTTTTGAAGGAGTCAAAGAAACCCTCCACTTATTTCCACAATGGCAACCTGCTGTTTTCAACCTTGGACCTCTTTGCTGCTGGGACTGAGACTACTTCTACAACCGTGCGTTGGGGTCTTCTTCTGATGATGAAATACCCAGAAATTCAGAGTAAGGCTAAGAAGTCTTCTTGTACAAGATTCGGTTGCATGCTTAAGGCTTTGGTTATAGAAGGGAGGGAGGGGGACTCATTCAGTGTTGTCTAGAGTATTTATTATAAGAACTGTGAGAGAGATAACAACTACCGACTTACAAAGAGATTTTATTCAGCTAGTTGCAAGGAAACAGCACAGCCAAGCGGGAGAGGCTACAGGCCAGCCTTGCGCAGTTACAGTAAAGCTCCCCCATCACTGTTCTCCTGCAGGCTATCCACTTACGTCACTGCAACTAACCTTCGTCAGTCTCCCCTCTCCTTAAGGACTGATTTTGATCTGGTTTCTGTTGAAGGCTATGGGGTAACAAAGGCATGAGATCAGAATCAGGCATGGCAAGTCCTGTAGCAACTCCATTCAAGCTCCCTTGGCTCAACAACAAACCTGAAGGAACCACATCACACATTGACTTTCCTGCCCCTATTTCTGCTCTTCCTAAATACCCCTCAAAGTTTTCCCTTTTCTTGATCTTGGCTAAACCGAAAGCCATTTAGGTTGCAAGATAAGAGGGGGTTACAGCTTCTTTATCTTTTCTTCCTCCCAAGGAAAGATTCAGGAAGAAATGAACCATGTCATTGAACCGGGACAGCTGCCTAAGTTGGAAGACCGGAAAAAAATGCCCTATACTGATGCAGTGATACATGAAATACAAAGATTTGCCAATATAGTCCCAATGAGTGTATCACGATCAACTCCTACTGATGTGAATTTCCAAGGTTATGTGATTCCTAAGGTGAGTTTTGAAGTTGTCAGCTTACACTGCACAGACTCCTTACTGTTTCCTTTGAAGCAGGCAAGAAAAATCAAAAAAAAAAATCTAAAGATGCCCTGATGTTTGGTTTAATCAATGATGTGATCTTTTGTTTTGGATCCAGGATGGCTGTTACAACTATGGGCTGGATTGAGCTCTTAGTTACAACTTTTTGAATCCAAAATAACCAGAAACTTCAATTAAATCACACTGGTTTGAATCTCTTTTGCCAAATGTGGAACCTCTACTTCAGCTTCTTGCTTGAAAGGTCTCTCAAATATGTAAGAAGGAAATGTGTTCTGTTTTGTGGCCCAGAAAGAGAGCAGCAACTACTGATAAGAGGTGAAGCAGGGCAGGAAAGCATTCTCTAGTTCTGTTTGCCATGGCTCAGTCTTATTCATCTCTTCAAGTTAGAAAAAAAGAAAACCGGCCTTGCTGGACTATGGAAGTGATCTGCTCCTACCAGCTACCGTGAGTTTCTCTGATCCCTTTCAGGGGACAGAAGTTATTCCACTGCTGACCTCTGCTCTGAATGATGAGTTGCACTGGAAAACCCCTGATCAGTTCAACCCTTCTCACTTCCTGGATGCTGATGGGAACTTCATTAAGAGAGAGGCATTTATTCCATTTTCCATAGGTGAGAGGGGTATTTTGCGCACCACCTGCGGTTAGGCTAATTGCACAGCTCCCACTGAATCCATACGTAGTTATGGATGTTGGAAATTGTGAAACTCAGAACGTAGGATAAGAACATAGGATAAGGGAATTCTTGTCATTCCTCCCATTCACCATGCTGTAAGTAACCATCCCTTGCTTGGGAGATCCGGGCAGAAATGTTTGGGAGACGCTGATGTATTCACAGGCACTGAATAATCTCACAGGCTTCTGCATGCTCCGAGACCCTTTCAGCAGCATCTCTAAAAATGAGGGGAGGGAAAGTTTTCCTGCCTTAACAGCCTGCTGTTACAGACTGTACATACAGGTTAGAAGGTCTCCAGCATGAACACTATTATGGTGCTGATCATTCACTTCTCTCCTGGTTGTTTTCAGGACGAAGGGCTTGCATTGGAGAAGGACTGGCCAAAATGGAGCTGTTCCTCTTCTTTGCAGGCTTGCTGCGCAAATTTGTTTTCCAGACCCCTCCAGGATTTGACAAGTCAGATCTAGATCTCACTGCTGACGTCGGCTTTACTTTGAACCCCATGCCTCACCTGGTTTGCGCTGTGCCCTATGAATGATCAAACCACATGCAGTTAGTGTAGTGAACACTTTAGGCTTGAAATCAACTCCAGTTACAGGGAGATAAAAAGCTGTCTGTTCCTGAGTTTTAGGAGAAGGAAGACACTGAGCATTGCTATTTTTCTCTCTTTCATATCATTCTTTCCAAGAGCTCTCCTGAGGCTGGTAGAATGCAAACCCTTCAGAATCCCTTAAGTACAGCACTGAGAAACAGTGCAACCCATTCCTGGAACAGCACATCAGAAAAGTAGGTTTCAGGACTGTTTGAAGGAATGAAATGGTTTCAGCCTCCTCTATGGATGTAACTCATCAGAGGCTCTATTCTCTCCTCTGAGAGCCTCCACAGGGAATTTCCTAGCCCAAAGTCCAAGCACTGTAGCAGAGCTGATTGATGGCCCAGCTGGAGCCAGCAGACACAAAGTATAAATACTTAATGGATCTAGAAATCTCCCAGGGATAGCTGTTCGGTTGAGCCTCAGACTGTTTTTCTTGCGCAATACAACCTGCCTTATCTTCCTCACAGAGTCCCAGACACTTACTGGGGTGTAACATGGGTCTATGCCAAGAGCCAGATGTGGGACAGTTATCAGAAAACATCTAAATGGTTTAGGAAGTAGGTTCATTCCAACTCACATCAGGTGCTTTGTAGTGAAGAGCCTATTTATGACAGGGCCAATCTAGCAGCTTTCCACTTCTGCTAAGAATGACATTTCTGCTATTCCCTCACCTCTCCTGGCTGTGCACCAGCTCCAACGCTTGTCCAATCCTTGGCTGGGCCAATTCAGATCCATAAGCTGGCAGAAAATAATCGGCCCCAGAAAGTGAATAGTTTCTGAATCAGCTCAGCTAAACACTGGGCGCATCTTAGAAGCAGTGCAAGGACCATGCAGCCTGGGGCCAGGGAGCGCGCCTGCCGCTGTCCCAGCTCTTCTCAACTTCCTCAACTGCACCTCAGGAGCCTAGTTAATCTCTAGATCTCCTCTACCACCCACAGAGAGAATGAGGCTCCTTCAGCAGGTGACTGAACTGCCATAAGGTCTGAATTGCTCCCTCTTTGCACTGAGTGCAGTGAGCCACCATCCCCAGGCTCCTAATTCAAACCCCCCAATCTGATGTGTCAGGTCTGGTGGGATAAATAGGGGCAATACTTTATTTTCAAATTGCCTGAAAATAGGACTTAAACTCTTTAGAAGATGTTACCCTCTGTCCTCAGCTCTACATGAGATACACAGCCCCTGGCATTTCAAGCTGTCTGCCTCTCCAGACATTCCTGGTGTCAGGGATAAGCAGCAAGGTCTCCAGACTCAGCCTGCAGCCCCAAGCAGTGCAGAGCAAATGACTCTGTCATGGGTCTCCACGAAAGTTATACGTGCGCAGGACGCAGCAGGACCAGGGTCAACACAATATGAATTCTAAGCCAAATTTTGATCCATGCAACAAGTGCTTTGGCTGCTTATGTAAGAACCTATATAAAGTTACAAATATAGAGCTGATAATACATTGCCTAGCAGAGATCCTGCATCACTGTCAAAGTTTAATGTTTTGTACGTTGTCACTGTGAACATAGATGTTGTAAAACTGGTAATAGAGACTGGAAGAAGAAGTAGGTTGGACACTGTACCTTGTCACTGAGCCTCTCACCTATATCATTAATATGTAATATAGAGTCTCTGCAGAAAGCTGGTGACACCCCAGAGACTGTGGCCTTCCTAGAACAGCAGTTTGATTACAACAGTTAATGATTTATTTCATGTAGCAGCCATCAGGATGATGAACAACTAGCTGTACTTGCAAAGCTATCCCCATAACATGTGTGTGCGTGTGTGCACATGCATGCGTGTGAGATCTGAATGCCAGTGCAGGTGAGAGAGGGGAGGCTTCACCTGCAGTGAAACAAAGGCAGGAAAGCACATGTGGATTAGGGAGAAGAGAGTCACTGAAGATGCTTTTGTATTGGTTTGGAAGCAGGAAAGGCAGGTTTGGATGAAAAGAAAGGGAGAACCAGAAAGTTACAGAGACTAAGGGAGTGGCTTAAGTTAAGTTTATAATGCAAAAACAAAGTCATTGGCATCTAAAGATGATCTGTGCTGCAAAAAGAAGAAAAAAAAGGAGGAAGAGAATATGAAGGGATTTCCAAAGTAGGGTGGTCTTTGTCAGGCCAGGCCACTGACTCTTCACACTTCAGTTCAAAACTAAAGGCAGCACTCTAATAGTTGTACTGTACCTTGCACTTGTGCTTATACTGGACCTGATTTGTACCACACTTGTACTTGTATTGTACTTGTAGTGGTATTGCACTTTTACTTGCACTGTACCTTGGAGCCTGCTCCAGCTGCTGAATACACCTCCAGCAATCTGTGTAACAAATTAAATAACAAGAAAGCCTTTGCTGCTAAGCTTGCTTATAACCATTTGCTGTTGCTCTGTTTGCAGTCTAACCACCGCAAGCCTGACCTTAGCTCCTACTTAACATATAAATATTTTTCTCTGCTTCTGTTGATCTATCTAGTGTTGCAGGATAAAGTGGATTTAGGGTCAAACTGATAAAGTTGGGCTGCACCACCTTTAATACACCCTTGCTGGAGTGGTATGCCCAGGGGTTGCTGGGAAACATGCAGCCGGGACACGTTAAAACAGTGCAAAAGGTGAGGAATACTCATAGCCATGAACAGCTCAGAGAAAATCATTGAATCTCTAACTCCAGAAAAATCACAACAGAAAAGGCAATATGACAAGTATTTTTAGTAACTTAATAATTGTCCAAAAGTATCTCCTATCAAAAGCAGGTGCACAGTCCACAGAATGATGCACAGTTTAACTGTATAACTATCCTGGGATCCTGGAGCTGTGGTAGCAAGTCTACACTTGGGGTCACATCCTTGCTGACTTACAGGAATTAGAAAAAGGGTTTTTAGAACTCACTGTCTGATGAATTAAAGCATGAAAATGCACATGGAGGCAGTTTGCACCTTCCAAGACAGACACCAGCCTGTGTGAGGAGACCTGTGAACAGACTGTGATCAGAGTGACTGAGAACAACACAAAATTGCTCTCCCTGGAGCCTGCACGTTGTTGAGTTTAAACCTGTAGGTTGAGGTGCATTGCTGTTACTCTAGCTTCATCATTTTTGCACACAAGGCACAAGCCGCAAAGTATTAGTCTTGCATAGTCTTGAATTGTTTCCTAAACCTGTTACATTTGACTATAATAATGCGACACAGCCAATATTAAGGCACGGACTGTGTTTCTGGGCTGATCTCCATCATTTGACCTAAGGCCAATAAAGAATTGCTTGACCAGGTATCCAATTAGCAGGTATTCCTAAACTGTGTCTTGCAGTTGCTTTCTTGTAGATAACTGTGCTACTTTTACGTAGCCCTTTTCACTACTTATCTCGCTAGCCCCTGAACCAGCACTGAGAGGCGCTCTTGAAGGACGCAGTATTTTCTCAAGACTATGCTCCACAAAAAGGACATGTAAAATATTGTTCCTAAAGCTCTGAATTTTGGTCTCCTTGCTAAACACTTTGTTTTTGCATAAAGTCCCTGATTTATCTATCTTGATTTAACATCGAATGTGCAGTCACCATGCTGCAAACATTATTCAGATGTATGAACTGAACAGCAGTTTCCAAGCTTTTGTCTTCCAAGTAGGTGTGCTTATCCATAAGCTAATTAACTGTCATCACTCTTGCCTTTGATTTATTATCAATAAAAATCTACATGCCTTCCTGAATTTTCAAAACCTGCTTCTTTGCCCAGCTTCAACTAATTTCTGTGTTATAGCTGTCACAAGCCTGATTCTGCAACCTGGCCTGCCAGCCATGCAGCATCCGTTTCCATCTTGACAGTACTTCATGGTACCCAGGCAACAGCATCACACCGAGGTGGGACCATCTTGCTAATGCTGAACAGGTCCATTGATTCCCAGTTAGACACACAAGCCCCTCTGATATTTTCCCACACTGCAGTTATCTACCCAGATTCCTCCTCTCTCCCTCGTATCTTCTGTTGTCCTCCAGGAAGTTGATGCCGTGGAGAGGCTAGCTGTCTTCATGGTCCTCAGGGGGTTTTAGGTAGGCAGTCCTGCAAACCCAGTAAAATCCCTACAGTACTCAAATGCTGTCACATCAACTATCAGGACACTTTCCAGCTGCAGTGCATCTTTGCCAAGGGCTGCCGATCACAGGGTGGGGAAGGTGGAAGTCCCCTCAGATTTTCCAAGTGGTTGAGACACCAGGCAGGGCTTTTTCTTGCACTGGCCCCGGGGAGACAGACATCCAGTTGAGATAGTATTGTGCTCTGGGCACCACATTTCCAAAAGGATATACTAACTTTAGAAGAAGTTGGGACAGGAAGAAAGAAACATGACAGTGGAGAATGAAAACCCCTCACATACATTGTGGCTTGGAAGATGTGGTTGTTTGCCTTAAAGAGCAGATGGAGAAGGGACATGGGAAAGGTAGGCCACACAGTGTCCCAGTGCAAAGAGGATGAGTCACCTGCTTCCATCAGCCCTTTCTCCTTACAGAGGCAAAATGGAAAATTAAAGTGAATGGCACCAAATTTAAACTAATAGAAGAAAATATACCTTCTATGCACAGTTAGGCTGCAGTTTCCTGCTACAGACTTTTAACGCTGGACAAAGGATGCCACTCCATGATACTTAAAAGTAAAACCAAGGTTGAAAATAAGGTCAGGAAAAAATACTTTTTCTTATCTTACAGTACCTCTAGGGAGTTCCTGTAGAACCTGGGTCTGGCTTCTGTCTGAGAGAGGGTATTGCTCTAGCTGGCTTTCTGATGTGGCCTCTTACGGTGATTCCCACGTTCCTGTGGCTCCTGCACTTGCTTAAAAGGAGCTTGTTACGATAAAGCCGGCAAGAGTAGCTGAGGCTGCTGTCCTGGCCTGGCTGCGCTGCTGGTCGAGAACCGGATTGGCAGAGAAGCACAGAGACCTTGGGGGATCCAGGTTAATTTAATGGACGCAGGGCTGGTGCGTTCATGGGCTTTGCTGGATGGATTTCTCCAGGGAGGCCCAACTGGCAGCGCAGTGACTGCACCCCAGGGTGGTGGTGGGTGATGCTGACGGGTGCCCATGCTGCTCGGTCTCACCAGCGCTGCCTGTTTCGCTCCTCGTGGCAGGGGATCGCCACAGGGACGTAAGGGACCGAAGACAACCCGGCTGCGAGCACCTTGGAGGGGCCCGGCTGCCCCGGGAATGCACCCGGAGTGGCGTCAGCACCTGGCAGGTGTTTCGTGCTCGGCTCTCTGTGTGCTCAGGCAGGGGAGCACGTAGCAGCGCGGCTCCGGAGCGAAACACGGAGCAGATGCATTATTGAGAGAGGAATTTCTTGTCATCACAAGAGCTTGACTTACCTTTGTCATTTTAATGCATTGCACTCGGAGTCTGGTTTAAAAAAACCCAGCAACCCCCTCCCCGGCCCCAGCCCCTGGCTTTTCAGAGATAATTTAAGTCTGTTTCTGAAAGGCCTTTTTATGATTTCAGCAGCTCCCAGGGCAAGGATGAAATAGCAAGACAGAGGCAGCAGCACATAACTCTTGTAGTGCAAGGTGCTGCCAGTCAAACAAAACCCTGTAAGAGCAAACATTTTGCATGGGGCGCAAAGCGTATGCCATTGCAAGTCGCCATTGCAATGCCCTAGTTTTGCACCGTGTGCCAGCCCAGCTCCTCCTTGCTTGCCTTCACACCCCGCTCTGCCTCTTTGCTCACTTCTGCAATGCGACAGTGCACTCCTTCCCCCCGCCATGTGCTCTTCCCCCTCCTCAGCCTGACCTCTTTGTAAAGAGGTCCTGCATCACTCCTCTCTCGTCTGCGACAAGTAGGCAGGAGTGAGTCATTTCTTGGGGAAACAGTTGTCTCCAGCCCATTTCTTGGAAACTAATTTAAAAAAATCCTAGAAATGTTGCAATACACTTGCTTACTCTGTTTCTGGGCAGTAGCTGCCCTGGTACATCTCCACATAACTCAGACAGCTCCAACCTGCAGCAAAGCAGCCACTTGCTTTGGGACCATGCTGGTTTATCTTTCATCAGCCATGTCCTCCCTTCACATAAGGCCCACTCCTTCCCTACCCTATTTGCATGCGTAAGGCTGACGGCACATATCTGTTAAATAACAGCCTTTATATGATCTAAACGGCCAACTCCGGATAAATCTACCTTTAGCCTTCTGCTTCCTGATCATGTAAGACAGATCTTTCTTTCCTGAACAATCTTTTTTCCCCCTATTTTGTCAACTGTTTATTCCCTTTATCCCCTTGAAAGCCACTATTCACCCATGCAGATCTCAATTCCCTCTCTATGAGATTTCAACCTTTATGAGGGATGCAAGCACCAGATGTTACATATCTTTAACCTAAAATAATTCCATGCTCCAGTTTTGCTCAAGGTCTGAGGCGTGCCAGTCCAGCTAACTTCATTAACGTCTTCCCTCTATCTCTTAGAAGCTACTCTTTCACAATGAGGAATCGTCACAGAAATTTCAGATCTAATTTTGTCTTCCCATTTAATTTCAACTGAATCCACTCATGATCACTTGATCCAAGCTAATTTTCCACGGCTAGCTATTTCATGTCCTCTGCTTTAGACACAAAGTCTGAAATCACATCCCTTCTGGGCAGTTCAGAGCCTATTTTATGAAGAAGTTTATGGCCTGTAACACCCAGAGATACATGGGCTTTACCATTATTAACAGCCTTTGATCTCTACTTGAGAACCAAAGTCTGCCATAACTGCTATTTTTCGCTCTGGTAACATGCAGAAGATCTCAAATCCTATCCAAATCTGATTCTGGAGGCTTCTAATAGGATCCAAGGAAACCTTTTTATTTCTCTGTGTCAGGAGAGTGTTTGGAGGGTCATGGTACTGCTGATAAAGGACTTTGAGGTCTCAGAGGGAGGAGGAGGTTATAGAGGAATGCCAGGCACCTTTTTCCCATGTATATGTTCTTGCACACACATGCATGGGTTTGTAATTTGAAACTCTCTTTACTTCTGGACAGGCTTTGCAAACTGCTTAGACCACATTCTCTGAGGTGTTTAAAGAGGGTGGAGTATGCAGTATTTATTTAGGTACTCTACAAACCTTAATAAGAATCGAGTGCTTGTAGCAATCGCAGAGAACAAACAGAAAGCCAGCTGGCAGAAACTGAACAGTGCCACTGCATTTTTATTGCTTCTAACCCCAAAAAACAGATTATTACTAAAAATGGCTTTTTTAATTTCATTTATCTCTGATCCTGCATTAATTTGTCTGCTGTGTGCAGTGGTTTTATTAGCTGTACTCTATTTTTCAACTGGCTCTCCTCTTCCAGTCATTGGTAACCTGCATTTGTTGGATATCAGAAGGCAAGATAAATCACTAATGAAGGTAGGACAAAAAAAATCCCCAAACCCAGATTCTAATGCATTTTAAAGCTGCCTGAGTTATATCAGTGAGAACTTTTTGTCTTTTTTACTTTGAACTAACTGTAAAGGTGTGAAAATTGCATTATAATATTTTTCTGAGCTGCTTCTAGCCAATGTCTGTGTTGATGCAGTGTCATTTATGAGTGATCAACTGTTAAAAAAGACCAGTGGGTAATATGGGATTTCTTAAGTGTGACAAGGAACATGAAGTATATAATGCTTGTGGGATTTTAAGTATTAATTTGACAGCTCTGATAGCCAGAAATCATCAAAGCACTAGGAAATAACTAACATGAAATGAAATTGCTTCCCTCCCTTCTACCTTAGAGAACTGGCAAGAGGAATTCCTCCCCGTAGTGCCCCAAAAACTGCTTTGAGGAGGGTCGAATCCAAATGCCCCTTCGCAAACTTTACTTCCCTCTTAATGAATTGGATTCATGTTAAGATCTAGATGGCAGCACAAGAGCGGGATGGAAAATTTGTGCTAAGGAAACAGAATGAATAGCCTGCAAGCTCTTCTCTTAACTTGCAATTAAAACAACTTACCCTGTTTATGGAGATAAACAGCTCCTGCAGCTAAGACAAGGCTGGCACAGAGCCTGCGGTGTTCGTGTCAGCCCTCCGAGCGCTCCCACCTCGCCTCGGCAGACGGCACCCTAAAGGCTCGACCCATGCCGGGGACAGAGAGACTGAGCAAACAGAGAGGAGCAGTTCACAACTAGGCGTTGATAAGGCTCCTGTAATACCAGTCCTAAATAAACACCCGCGGTTCTCTGGGAGCAGCCGAGCGCTGGATAAGCTATGGCTCGGGGTGAGGCTCCCAGCACCTGGTGCCGCACCGTGGGCAATGTCAGGGTTTGGTCAGTTTAACCAGCAGGGCTGGGCGCACATTGCTACTGTGTCACTGAGCTGCATTTTTTGCTCACCTCTCTCTGCATCACCTAATAGATGATATTTGGTATCGCCTATGTTTGCCTTTAATTTGGGATTCATCCAGAGGGGTTATCTCTCCATCTCCCCCCAGAGGTAACAAAAAGAAGTGATTGCATTCGAGTGACACGCACCAGCATTTGCTTACCCCGTTTCCCCGGGTACCCTGATGGGGAATTTGCAGGGCAAGCGGGGATGGACCCTTCCCCATCGGATCAGCGCAGTATTGCTGCCGGAGCAGCAGGCAAAGGCAGAGGCGGCACGCACCCCGTGTCCTCGCTTGGGCAGCAGATTTGCGCAGTGGCTCCCCACCACCTTGCCCCAGCCTGCTCCAGTCTCGCCTCTGCTGCTTCTGAGCGCTGCTTCCCCGCTGCACGGTGCGGCCACCGCTGCAGGGCTGATACTCAGCCTCCCTCGTTGGACTGCAGCAGCGTCCCTGACGTGATGCTGTGGAAGCAGACGGGGAAAGGGCAGCGGTTGGGGAGGACAGCAGTCTGCCTATAAAAGGCAGGCACGCAGCAGCAGGCACATGCCAGCCTGGCCTTACAGAGTGTGGATTTCCCCTTCAGCGTGCGAGGCTCTGCACACGGATACTCGCTGCAAACCCGTTTTCTTGACAGAGAGGAGCAGACATGGGTGCAACGCAGCCTGCTCTGCAGGCACAATCAGGACGTGCCAGCAGGACCCCGTGTCCTCGGCTGGGACTTTCAGCCCTCCGAGGAACTGCGCTGCCTTTGTAAGCGCTCGGCAAGGCGCAGCCTGTGCAGCGGGGCTGTCAGCAGGGACAGAGCTGCAGGGAGCTTGTTCTTGCGTGTGCTGCAATGAAAGATCCTCTCTGTGTCGGGTCGAAGATACGTCCAGGGCTTTCGCTACTGCAAAAAGAGCTTCGCTTTGTTTGCGAGCGTGGGCACAGCCAGCCGTTCGGGTTGCCCCCTGCCCACTCCGAATGCCACAGAGGGCAGCCGTGGGCTGCACCCAGCCCCCGTGGAGGCCTGACCTGGGGTACCCACGCCAGGTCTGAGCGCAGGGCCGTGGCGTCGCTGATTCCAGTATTGTGGTCATTCAGGGCAACGTCATGCCTAACGTAGGTCAAAGCTGAATCCTTTGATCTAGTAGCGTGGATGCAGGAGTGCTTTGGTACAACAGGGGTGCCGTGAGCAAGCGCTCTCCTGAGGGACCGCGTCATTACTGGTACTGAAACGTCTGCTCCATTTGCAGCTTTCTTCTGTCCATCAACTTGCATTGCCATTTGAGGTCTAGTCCATAACTCTAAGTGACTTTGTTTTTCATTGACTTTCTCCTCAACAGAGAAACCAGACTAGTAACATACTGATTGGGGGAGTTTTGTCTTGTGGCAATAAGCCTAAAAAGCCAGCCAGGCATCCATACGACATGGCACGGTTTTGCTGGTAATCAGCTCACAGGAGCTGTTCTGCAGCTGGGGCAGCCTCGCTCCTGCTGCCAGGACATAACGTGGCCGGCAGCTTTCCGACAGACGTCCGCATCGGATGTGTGCGCGCTCCCTGCCTTGCTAACCGTCACAGCTTGCCTCTCTTTCAGCTCGCAGAAGAATACGGCCCAGTCTTCACCCTCCATTTTGGGTTCCAGAAAGTTGTGGTCCTGACTGGGTACGAAGTTGTGCGGGAGGCGCTTGTGAACTACACAGAGGAGTTTGTAGACAGACCATCCATCCCAATATTTGACCAAATTCAGAACGGAAACGGTACTAGAGAAATGAGGGGGGGGCGGGAGGGTGGGATGATGCCGGCGCTTAGTGCCAGCCGAACTGTTCTTCCCTCGAACGCTCCAAACGGGGCTTTTACAAATCCCCCTTCAGACCCTACCGCAGCCAAGCTAACAGCCAACATTTGGCTTTTCTCCTTTTTCTACAAAGCCTTGTAGCTTTTCACTACAATTACTTTTGCTAACGCGTTTGTGACCAATTCCTCTCCTCACTGCTCCAGGGTGAGGAGGGGGATTTCTAAAGGCCCAGCAGTAAGATGGTAACGGGAGCTGAGCAGCTTTCTGCCATCGATGCATTTCCACATCTTCCCCATGGTGTCACGGGACTTTGGGCTAACAACTTGTTTGGCTGTTCAGAGCTGTAGGGTTTTCCTCTTTTTCCTGCTACACCAGGTGCCACAATTTTGGACATAATCTTTCCACAGAATCTTGTCTCCGCAGACACTCTTGGGTGGAACAATGTGAAACAGGTTCAGACAAAGGCAACGGGCTGAGGCTGTAAATTCTTCCCACAAACAGTCCCACGGTTTTTCCAAGGCAACGCTCCATCCCCATTCCCTGACTATTTCAGAGAACATTTTGTCTTGTTTTTCGATCCTCTGCTTTAGCTGAGGCTCTCGCTTTGAGCACTCAAAAAAAGAGCCTTATATGATAGTCAGAGATGACACTGGGATTGCACATAGTAATTCAATTACCCAGCCATAATATTAACAGATGAATTAGTCATTACATAAGGAAAAGGAATTGATGGGGGGAAAAGCACGTTCAGAGCCAGTTTACATGTAACATATCCCTGCAGGAGACTGTCAGTACTGCAGTGTAAGTCCTTTCACACTTACCCTATCAGTCCAAGCGTGAGCCATTTAGAGGTGACCCAAAGCCGTAAATTCACAACGGCTGCTAAGTAACAATGGTCACAAAATTTCTGACGAAACATATTTTTCTTCAGAAAATGCTGATCTGTTGACTCCAAAGCTGTTGGTAGAGGAGGACTGTTCCAAATCAAATTTCCTGAATTAAAGCAAAATAAAAAATGGAGTTTAGAAATTTGCTTTGACATATTTAAAACAGAAAGTTTTGCTTTCCAAATTAAAATTCTAGAAAAGGCAAACATATGTAAAAAAACCTGCAGCTCAATGTGATATGATGGAACGTGAAATAATGTAATCCCCCTTTTCAGTGGACAAAATCTGAAATATTCTTTGGATTACTGACACAATTTTTCCTTTCACTCCATCCAACACCATGACAGGATGAAATATCCGTCTCTGCTTGGTGTCGTTAGTGATCATCAAGAGATGAGCTCAAGACTCCATAAAAGGATGGTATTTTCACCACTGCTGGAAAAAACAGTGCTGTTGGGAATTTCAGCAAAACATCTCAGCACTGAATAGGGTTGGGGAGACTGAATTATCCCATCTCACTTAGATAAAATACCTTCGTGACTGAAATGTGATAGAGGGGGAAGCTGCAAAGGTGGTCACATGGGGCCCTAGACCTGCAAACGGAGACAGAAAGATTGCATGATTGACTTAGGCCAAGCTCCTTCCCCTGCTCTAAAGCTGAATAGGGCTGGTCTGAAAAGCCTAATCTGCTTACCTTGCTCACAAGAGAGGGCTGGGTGAGACTGGACTGGGTAGGAGCTGGTCTTTCACAAGCTAGAGGCTCAGTGAGACTGGAGGCCACAGGGATAGGGCACCCAGAAATGGGAGCCCCTTATTCCCCAAATCCATGGGAAACTGGGCAGCAGAAACGCTTTTGGAGATCCCAGTGAGTCCAGTTCCATATCTTGGTTTGTGCGGTGGAGCTCCTCCATGTATGATCCCAGTGGAGATGTCTTATGGCCTCCCCAGGTGTCTTCTTCTCTATTGGGGAGCTCTGGAGAACAACTCGGAGATTCACTGTATCCAGCATGCGCAACCTTGGCATGGGGAAAAAAATGATAGAAGTGAGAATTTTTGAGGAGCTTCACTTCCTTATAGAGATGATCAAATCCTTCAAAGGTGAGCTGGGGACCATGATGGTGCCATACAGCTCATTGCTGCTGCAACATCGCATTAACATTTCCTTCCTGCTCTCATTGCAGGGGAACCTTTTAGCCTGAGATCCTTCAACACTGCTCCAACCAACATCACCTTCCTCATGCTGTTTGGGGACAGGTTTGACTATAAGGATCCAACCTTTCTCACTCTCTTAAGACTCATAGATGAAGTTATGACTCTT